GGCGTGACCAAGATGTTTACAACATTTTTCTGGGTTTCAATCCTATTCAACTACATGCACCTGAACTCTATCAAGCCTACATCACTCAGGCATGTGGGGTCACGTGTTCGGACCATAGGTTCAAGCTTACAACTATAGCTGTTGGCTGTAATTGTGCTGGGAGGGCCCAGCTCTCCAAGCTGGGACTTGCACGTGGCAATGAGAGGACTGTTCCCTCTCATCAGTCCAAGGCTTGAACCTGTCCAAAACACTGTAGTGACTCCCCACAATAAAGTTTTAATCTACTTATATAAAAACCCTGGGTGTAACATCACAGCCAGAAGCATGTCCAATCGGAAGGAAGTGAGTCCTGCAGCGGTCGTCTTGGAAATGGCTGCGCCCTCCCCCAGCTGTTTCCTAGAGGGCGAGGTTCAGGCAGGAACCTGCCCTTGGAGGGGAGCATGGAAGTGAAATGATTTGTAATGGATCTATCATTGAAGCTAACTTTGGAAATACTATATCTATAGATCAGTGGTTCTCAACCTTGGCTGCACATTAAAATCACCTGGAAATCTTTTTAAAATCCTGATTTCTGGGTCTCATCCTCCGAAAATTCTGTTTCTTTGTTACTAATGTTGTGGCCCCACCCCATAACAAAGAAACAATTTCTGGAAGATGAGGGCCAGGAATCAGGCTTTTAAAAAGATTCCTAGGTGATTCTAATGTGCAGCCAAGGTTGAGAACCACTGCTATAGATAATATTAAAAATATATCTAAATGTGCAATTCTTTGTCCAAAAAATGAGCATGTTCAAAAATTAAATAAAGAAAATTTGGATATACTCGATGGAGATTTTCACACATATTTGAGTGATGATTCCATTGACTCCACAGATGATGCTGAAAAGGAAAATTTTCCCATCGAATTTCTTAATAGTATTACTCCTTCGGGAATGCCATGTCATAAATTAAAATTGAAAGTAGGTGCAATCACCATGCTATTGAGAAATCTCAATAGTAAATGGGGTCTTTGTAATGGTACCAGATTTATTATCAAAAGATTATGACCTAACATTATCGAAGCTGAAGTCTTAACAGGATCTGCAAAGAATTAATTTGTCCCCATCTGACGCTGGCCTCCCATTTAAATTGATTCAACAATGGTTTCCCGCGATGCCAGCATTTGTGATGACTATTGATAAATCACAAGGACAAACTCTAGACAAAGTAGACATATTCTACCTGAACCCGTTTTTGCACATGATCAGTTATATGTTGCTTTCTCTCGAGTTTGAAGATCATGTGATGTTACAGTTAAAGTTCTAAGTACTTCATCACAAGGGAAATTAGTCAAGCACTCTGAAAATGTTTTCACTCTTAATGTGGTGTACAGGGAGGTATTAGAATAAGTTTAATCACTTTATCAGTCATTGTTTGCATCACTGTTGTTTTTATATCATGTTTTTGTTGTTTTCATATCATGTTTTTGTCACTTTTATATCATGTTTCGGTTGTTATATCCTTTTGTTACTCTTTATTTATTAATAAATTTATATGTTATTTTCATATACATTTTACTAATTTCCTTTCATCTCTCACACTTCTATTATAGAGAAAGAGCAAATAGCAATATTAAAATATCTCCGCTAATTAATTCCCTTTTTAAAAAATATATATTTTATTGATTTTTTTACAGAGAGGAAGGGAAAGGGATAGAGAGTTAGAAACATCAATGAGAGAGAAACAGTGATCAGCTGCCTCCTACATACTCCCCACTGGGGATGTGTCCACAACCAAGGTACATGCCCTTGACCGGAATCGAACCTGGGACCCTTGAGTCTGCATGCCGATGCTCTATCCACTGAGCCAAACCAGTTAGGGCAATTAATTCCCTTTTAATATGCACGAATTTCATGCACCGAGCTACTAGTTGACAATAATGTCAATTGCCTCTCATTAAAATTTCAGTTTGCACGTTCTGATTCCTTGGGATATCTTGGGAAAGTGCTATATTACATTGTTCTTTTTTCATCGTATTCCTTATAATTTTCCCTATGATGAAAACGAAAAAATAGAGTGTGAGACAGTAAAAAAATATAAAATAAAGCTTAAGAGGTATAAGATAAGGCCATACATTATACATCCAACAGTAGAGTAGATAGAGGTTATGGGAAACAAAAGATTTGAAAAAATAATTCTGAAAATTTTCCAGAAATAGTAAACATTAATCTACTTATTTAGGAAGATCAAAATAGCACATGCAAGAGGCAACCAATAAATGTGTCTTTTTCACATTGATGTGTTTTCTTTCTCTCTCTATCTCTCCTCCTGCATTGCACTCTCTCTAAAAAAAAAAGAAAGAAAAAAAGAAAGAAAAATATCCTCAGGTGAAAATTAACAACAACAACAAAATAACCATCAAGCCTGGCTGGTGTTGCTCAGTGGTTGAGCATCAATCTATGAACTAGGAGGTTACGGTTTGATTCCTGATCAGGGCACAAGCCTGAGATGTGGGCTAGGTACCTAGTAGAGGTGTGCAGGATTCAGCTTATCAATGATTCTCTCTCATCATTTATGTTTCTGTCTCTCTCCCTCTCATTTATATAATTATTTATTAATATTGATTATTGCTGATTGATCATAATAAATAAATGACTGTAGCCCAGGCCAGTGTAGCTCAGTGGATAGAGTGTTGGCCCATGCACCAAATGATCACCTCAGGTGAGGATTAACAAAAGAAAAAAAAAGACTGTAGTCATTGTGATTCATCATTTAATAATTCATATAACTCATTCACTAAATAATTTCTCTCTTTTTACTGGTCTAAAGCCATTTGCTGATAATACACATATTAAATATGTTTATATTTTATAATATATATGTATAATTTTTAAACATTCTTTAATAAATCTATATAACTGTGAAATGGAGAATGCACAGGAAATTGACCAATGCATAGAAATAATAAAAAGTCCCTTTGAAAACAAGGATATTTCCTAACATCTGGAAAGTCATGAGTCATTGCATGAGGGGATTACCAAGATATATATATAGAGAGAAATAACTAATGCCTCCTGACACTTGTGAATTTAAATCAAGTGAGTCCAGTTTGATCTTATGCTTAAGTACTGTTAACGAAGGAGATGAAACATTACTGTATCTATTAACCTCCCAGAAAGCATATTCTAATGCCTAGCTGAAATTGCTTCTTCTGACATTCAAATTCATTTCTCCTAATATATGCTACAATATAAAACAAGAATCCCCAAATAATTCAGAAAAAGAGCTGGACTACTTTCTGAGTCTTCAGTCTTTAGAAGCTGTGTTATGATGTAAGGAATTGAGCTGAGTTTCAAAGTAGTCAAAATACATGAGACTGTTCAACTGAGGTGGAGCTATAAAATAGCCTAATACTAACATTTTGATAAAAGGAATATAAATCTATAAATCTAGATTGTTTATTGTATTTATTTTTAATTAAATTTATTAGGGTGACATTGGTTAATAAAATTATATAGGTTTTGAGCATACAATTCTTTGACACATTATCTGCATATTAAATTGTGTATTTACCATGCAAAATCAAATCATCTTCCATCACATAGATTTGATTCCCTTTACCACTTACCGTTTGTTTGCTGTTGTCTGTGTCTAAGAGTTTTCCTTTATTTGCTTTTCTTGTTTGTTCATTTGCTGCTTTCAATTTTATTTTCCACATATGAGTGAAATCATGTGGTTCTTGACTTTTTCTGTCTGACTTATTTCACTTCACATGATATTCTCAAGATCAATCCATATTGTTGTAGTAAATAGCATATTTTGAAAAAATATGTTTTTATTGATTTTTAAAGAGAGGAAGGCAGAGGGATAGAGAGAGAGAAACATTGATGAGAGAGAAACATCATTGATCAGCTGCCTCCTGTATGCCCCCCACAGGGGACTGAACCCTGACCAGGAATCGAACTGGTAGCCTCTTGGTTCCTGGGACAATGCTCAACCGCTGAGCTACACCAGCCGGGCTATTTTATCTTTTCTTATGCCTGAGTAGTATTCCATTGTATATATGTACCACATCTTCTTTTTCCAATCATCTATTTAGTGACACTTCGGTTGTTTCCTTGTCTTGGCCATTGTGAATAACGCTGCAATAAGCATAGGGGTACATATAACTTTGTGAATAAATGTTTTCAAAAAACTTTAGTAGGTACCCAGAAAAGGGGTGCTGGGTCATATGATTACTGTATTCTTAATTTTTGAGGAACCTCCAAAATTGTTTTCCATAGAGGCTGTACCAATTTATAATCTCACCAGCAGTGAATGAGGGTTTATTTTTCTCCACAATCTTTTCAACACTTGTTATTACTTGTCTTGTTGATAATAGCCATTCAAATAGGTGTGAGGTGGTATCTCATTGTAGTTTCATTTGCATTTCCCTAGTAGCTAGTGAAGTTGAGCATCTGTTCATATACCTGTTGACCATTAGTATGTCTTATTGGGAGAAGTGTCTCTCCAGGTCCTCTACCCAATTTTTAATTGGATTGTTTGTTCGGGTTTGAGTTGTATGAATTCTTTTTATATTTTGGAAATTAATCCCTTGAGGGAGCTGTTCAAGAGCTTCAAATGAAGAATAAAGAAAAAACATAAGAGATAAAAAGAAACTCACATTGCTACATTATAAATACTTACACTGTGTGCCCAGCTTTTTGCTAAGTGCTATAAAGAAATCTCTCTCCTTTTCAGTTAACAATTGTGTGGTAGTAAAGACCAAAAGTGAGACTGGGAATGCAAAGGTGAGCTCCACAAGTGTCAGGGAGACATTGAGGGATGAGTAAGGCCTGGAAGAGGCAGAGAAATTTTATCCAACAAAAAGATTTCAAACAATATTTTTGAAGCCACTCGGATTTCCCCCAGGTCAGCCTACTTCTGTTGATACTTGCATTTCATCATTTCCGCATTGTGTTGCTGCCCGGAGTAAGGAGACTCACTTGTCCAGTCCACTTCCTTGTCCTTCTTATGCAAGAAAGGAAATCGTGACTTGAACACACAGCCACCAAACAAATGAACATTCTTATGTCTTGAGGTTGAACTTCCCAAAATACAGATAAAGTGTTCATTCTTCAAGATTCCTTTTCCTTGAAACTTACCAACAAAATACTCTTGGACTCAGAAACTGAGGAGAGAGAGAGTGAGAGAGAGAGGAAGAGGGGGAGAGAAAAAGTGAAAGAGAAAAAAATGAATTCATCCGAATCATCTGCATCACAGAGCACAGGTAAAATTTGCAGTTCTTTTTCTTTCACAGGTATGTCTTTTTGGAAGAGGTGGTACATATGTTGAAGGACAGGACTGTAGAAAAGGCTACAGTAAAGTAAAAGAAGAGAGACAGAGAATGAAACAGAGGAAACATGAAAGAATGGTTAGAAGAGTCCATGTTATACTGGGAAGGTCACTGGACTTGAGTTCAGGGAGGGCTACCAGCCTGCTATTTCTGCCCTCTCGGTATTCACTGTCCCATTGGGTAAGGCACTTCACTTCTCTGGAACTCACTTTCCTTGTCTGCAATATGTTGTTTGGGAAGGAAAGGGAGAGGAACTACTAGATGAATTTGATGTTTTATATGATTGCTTTACAAAGGACTTGGAAAGTGAAGCACTAGAAAGAGGAGAGCAGGAGAGAGACAAAAAAAACAGGTTGAGAGGATGAGAGGGAGAAAGGAAGGAAGATAGAGAATGAAAGGGGAGAACTGTGAGTGACTTAGGACAGGAAAAATGGCACATCTGTCCAACTTCATGAATCCGTCTTAAAATTAGTAGTGGATTATGCTAGTGGTTCTAAAAGTGTGGTCCCCAAACCACCACCACCACCACCACCACCACCACCACCACCACCACCACCACCACCAGCAGCGCCTGGGAAACTTGTTGGCTCCATACCATCTCTTACTGAAATCTTAACTCTGGGGGTTAACCTGTGCTGTAACCCTGTAATCTGTGTTTTAACACACCCTCCGAATGATTTTTACATATACTGAAGTTTGAGAAGAGCTCAGTGTAGGCACTGCACGTGGAAGGAAATATGTGTGGTTGAATAAGAATTTATTATGCCTCTGGCTTAGGGACGATGGGCCATATTTGTGTCTTTCTACAGAGCGAGGATGCTTCTCTTCCCAAGTGTTCTCATTGACTGTTGCTGGGATCTCCATCCTACTGCTCAGTGCCTGTTTCATCACTCGATGTGTTTGTGAGTGCTGAAGGTCAAATGCAATCTTCCTGGGGAATATTCGGAGTAAATTCTTCCTTGCTGCCTGTGGGTTCTCTTCTCCCATTAAGAGTATTACCTTTCTCCTCTATTCATTTCCAGGTCATTCCTCAAACCAGAAACACCAGCTAGTATAGAACTGTTACCAAATTTCGGTGACCTCGTATGCATTTTAATGATAGACATTTTTCATCTCCTTGGTAGCCCTGAGTGCTTCCCTTTGTACCTCTGTCATTCACTAGTAGAACCCCTTCTATGAGATACGAGCCTGAGACATGACAAATCACTTTTGGAAGGAAGGGTAGAGAGGGTTAGACTTGGCATGAGAGAGAATGTTAACACATTTGTCTTCTCTTGGCCTATGGGCCTGAACTAAAGTACATTTATTTTTATAAATTACAAAAACCATAACATGTAATAAATTCCCTCTTTTTAAAGTAAATCTCAGTGCCTCTCCATGCAGAAGGAAAAGTAGATAGTAAGAAAATATGGTAATTGTTCTCAATTCTGTTATAAATACAAAAATAATAAAATTTATTTTATCAAAAGAGTAATAAATATTAACGGTGCCCCTGTCCTTACAGTGACATATCACATCTTTCAACTCTGTGATGAGAAAAAGGACCAGCCATATGAGCTCATGGAATTCAACTGCTACAATGATGAATCAGGTATAATATTCCTCAAATTTGAACATAAGATTTACATATCAATATTTGTTGGCCTCTAGATTGATTTTGGGATAAATAACGTAGTTTGAGTAGGTCCTGTTTTTCAAAAACAAAATGTAAAATCTTGCCTGTACTGTAATAGAAGGATAAGGAATGGTTAAGAAGACAGGAAATCTTGGGGACATTATAGGAAACTTTTAGAATAAATTTGAGGTATATATCTGAACACTAAATCTCGAGGTGAACAGTGTTATCCCCAGGAGTGCACTTTATTATTATTATTATTATTATTATTATTATTCACCTGCTTCCAAATGAAGTAAAGAAAAAATGTATAGAATAGAAAATTTTGAAACAGCTCAGAAATATACTTTGTACACTCTTCCATATAGTTTCCAATTCTTAGAAAAATGCCATATGACACTAGAAAATGACTTCTTTCGTTGGGTTATAATTTCCTCACTATTAAATTAAGAGAGACTGGACTATTTATTTTTTAATAAATTTGAAGGCTTCAATTCTATTATTGTAAGAACCAGTTTGGAGATTTTGTTGAGTGTACATTATTTGGGCAACATGAGAGATGGTTGCTTCGAGGTCAGTCCGATAAAATGCATCACAACTTTCTCTGACCTTGACAAGTCTAAGAACAGCTAACAGGGCCCTACATCAATAGCATAACTAAGATAGATAGTATATATGGTTTATCTAGAAAATAAGGATTGTGTCTCAAAAGACAAGGATATTTATGGTTGTTTGTGTTTATTGACATAGGAATTATTAAAGTCTTAGATAGTAAGAAGGGGGGTAGAGGGAGGTTGTGACCAACAGGTTCCAAGGCTTCTAGCTATAAATGATAGACTTCATAGGGCCTGATGAAACTTTCTGTTTTCTTAATTAGTTCATATAGGACATTCATGGAAACTTCTCTCCTCCTAGGTTCAGTCAAGAATTGCTGTCCATTGGGCTGGGTACATTTTCAATCTAGCTGCTACTTTTTTTCTACTAACATCAAAAGCTGGTCAGAAAGTGTGAAAAACTGCTCCAGCATGGGAGCTCATCTGGTGGTTATCAACTCAGAGGAGGAACAGGTAGTTCAAGTACAGACTCCCCGAGTGTCAGTGTAGCATTCCCCACATGATCTATCCCTTTTTCCATACATGTGTATGGTGTGTGGACCACAATGAACATTTTTAAATGAACATACTAAAATGCATGTTTTTCGTACTATTTCTGTAAGTCAATGCCTACTCTAATTTATTTCCATTTCTAGAAAAGCCTAAAGTAAAAAAGAAATTTCCATGTTTAGTTCCTTAGCAAGGCAAAAAAAAAAAAAGGAGTGGGGTCCCTTTTAGAATGACCATTATGTTTATAAATCTATTTGAATGAGACAAAGCACATAGAACCCATTCCCATTAAGTTGTGATTAATAATGCTTTGTGTTAATCTCTGCAGTAGATTTGGCTGAAAATCACAGTAGATAAACTTTGAATTATTGAGAACCTCCTTTGTTGAAGATTCTTTTTTGTTGGTTTTTTAATTGTATGTTGTGTATATTTTTACCACAATTTTTAAAAATCAGAAGATAATCCTCTATGATCTCAACATAGGTTTTCCCCAAAAGATGTATACACACTTTGAATAATTATATAGGCAGTGTTTATTAAAATACATTTCATGTTCAAAAGGTGATAGAAATTAGCTGTTAGAGTGCGTGTACATTTTGGGACAACATCGTGTTTCAGGGCCATGTGTCTATCATCTTTAGTCTAGGTCCTACTTTATCTCTTTAAATAACAATTACCTTCAACATTTGTTTAGAATTGAAAGAATTGATCTCCTTTTTTTTTTGACTGTGTATCTTCCATAGAAATTCCTTTTCCATGCAAAACCTAAAGGTAAAGAGTTTTATATTGGGCTAACGGACCAGGTGGTTGACGGTCAGTGGAAATGGGTAGATGGCACACCTTTCACGGAGTCTCTGAGGTAATTAACTTCTTTATTGTAGGAGAATTTAACACGACCCTAAATCCTAGTTAGCCCATTTTGGAGGGGAGTTCTCAGAACCTCCTTCTGTTCCATGAAGTATAGTCAGGGCCATCCGATTGCTCTGGTTTCCTAAGACTATCTCATATATAAAGGTGAGTAGATAAACATGAAGAAGTGAGCAGTCCTGGCCTGTGTGGCTCAGTTGATTGAGTGTCGCCCCGTGCAACACAGGGTCACGGATTCAATTCCCAGTCAGGGCACATGCCCAGTTGTGGGCTCAAACCTCAGTAGGGGGCGTGCAAGAGGAAGCTGATCCTATGGCCCTCTCCCTCCTTCTCCTTCTCTCTCTAAAATCAATAAAAAATAAAAATAAATAAAAAGAATGAAAGAAAAAAAAGAGGAGTAGAATTAGATACTAACACTTTGGAAATGCATCAGGGACAAAGTGTGGAATTCATAGTTTTATGCTCCTAAACTGTAATAAATGAGACAAACATAGTAATTTGAGGAAGACAGAAGATTCCTGTGGAGTGAACATCTCTTTTCTCCTTAATAATGGCTTTACAGAAGTAGAGCACAGCATTTGGAGTTTTCAAAGTTTTAATCTTTATCTCATTTAACCTAAGTTATGTCTTTCTGAGATACATCGATATTATGCCTTTCACGTAGCATTTGAGGGAACTAAGATTGGAGGGGCTTCAGTCAGTTCTGAGAGTATAGCCCACATGTTCTGGTACTTTTAAAAGTTGCTTCACTGCCCTAACTGGTTTGGCTCAGTGGACAGAGCGTCAGCCTGCAGACTCAAGGATCCCAGGTTCGATTCCGGTCAAGGGCATGTACCTTGGTGGCGGGCACATACCCAGTAGGGGGTGTGCAGGAGGCAGCTGATTGATGTTTCTCTCTCATCGATGTTTCTAACTCTCTATCGCTCTCCCTTCCTCTCTGTAAAAAATCAGTAAAATATATATTTTTAAAAATTGCTTCACTACTACACTGTAACACCATTGAAGTATGCACCTAAATTAATACAAATTTTGTGTAGACTACAGGGAATCAAATGGGAGATGACATATGAGTGCAAAGAAAACAAATCCACCAGGACATCAGTTATTCCCATAACCTCTCATCCCAAGTCTAGTCTATGAGGGAGCATGACAGAATGGAAACAAGGCAGAAAGATCCATTTCAACTTCACTACTGACAAACTCTATGACTTAGACGAATGGGTTAGCTTTTCTGAAATCCCTTTTCTTCATCAGTATAATAGAGATTATAATTCCTACCTCACAAAATTGTTGTGAAGTTAAATAACACAAATGTAGCTTGTCTGGTATAGCAGGTCACGTTATCTCTTGTTACTGGGATTTAAAATCTCCCATGGCATTTTTTGTGTTTTGTGTGTGTATGTTTTTCAGCTTCTGGGATGCAGGGGAGCCCAACAACTTATTTACAGTGGAGGACTGCGTCACCATAAGAGACTCTAAAAATCCTCGGCAAAATTGGAATGATATGGCCTGTTTCTTAAATATGTTTTGGATTTGTGAAATGCCAGATAAAAGTATTTTGGACAAAGAGAAGTCTTCAAGAACAGAAGGCCCACCTTTAATGTAGGGGTGAGGAGGACCAAGAACATGAACACAGCCACAACTCCACCGTGAGAAACGTGTGCGTTGTACTTCAGAAGGGCTCCACAAGTGTTTGCTGATTTGATGTGAATAAAAATAAATATTTTTGAATGTTATCATTCATGATACTGACTGAAGCGCATTTTTCTCAATATGAGTCTCTCAGGTCTTTTCAGAATTTACCAAGCAATTCTCTAGGAAATACCGTAAGAAGAAAAGCATGTCCCTTTGGGTACATTTGCTTCCTATGCGAGAAATTATAGGAGGATACAGGGACAAAGCCCTGGCCGCTGTGACTCAGGTGGTTGGAGTGTTGTTCCATGCACGGAAGAGTCCCAGTTCGGTTCCTGGTCAGGGCACATGCCTGGATTGTGGGCTCAGTCCCCAGTGGGTGGTGCAGGAGGCAGCCGATTGATGTCTCTCTCATTGATGTTTCTCCCCCCGTCTCTCTTTCAAATCAATAAAAACATATTTAGAAAAAATAAATAAAAGCAAAAAAAATAAAAGCAAAAAAAATCACATATCCTTGGGTGAGGATTAAGAAGATTTCTTTGGAACACTATATATCTGTCTATATCCATATATATGTCTATGTCTATGTCTATGTCTATGTCTATGTCTATCTCTATCTCTCTATATATCTATCTACATCTATATCTATGTCTCCCCTTATTCATGGTTTTGCTTTGAATGTTTTCAATTACCTACAGTCAACTGTTGTCCAAAAATATTAAATGGAAAATTCTAAAACAATTCATACGTTTTATTTTTTTTGAAGTCCCATTTTTAAGTCTTATTTTTAAAAAGTGAGTAACCCATTCACATGATTCAAAATCCAAATGTAAAAGGGGATATAAAGTAAAAAGTCCCCCGCTTTCCCATACTCCCCATTCTTCCTCCACAGTCCCCAGCCACCCAGTTCCCTTCATGGAGGCAATTAATGTCCCTACACTCTTACCTATGTCTATACTGTCACACTTTAAAAATAATATATCGAAGAGCTAAATTCCAAGGAGGTGGAAGAGGTATAAGGTATAAATGGTGATGGGGGGAAAGAAAAGAAAAAGAAAATAGCCAGTGTTGGTGAGGATGTAGGGAAACAATTCATAAGTTTTAAATTGCTCATTGTTCTGAGTAGCATAATAAAAATCTTGCGCCATCCCACTCTGCTCAGGACCTGAATCACCCCTTTGTTCAGAGTCCTGTCTCCACACTGCATACACTACCTGCCCATTAGTCACTGTCTCATTATCAAATCAGCTGTTGTAGTATTGAAGTGCTTGTATTCAAATAACCTTTATTTTACTTACTAATGGCCTCAAAGGGCAAGGTGGCAGTTCAAATATGCCAATAGAAGCTGTAAAATGTTTTCTTTAAGTAAAAAGGAAGAGTGTATAGGAAAAAAACATAATACACACACACACACACACACACACACACACACACACACTCAGAAAAGAATCATATAGCAAAATTTACCAGATCATACAGCAGATGATACTTTTAAAATAGTAAATTCAACTTTACTTAAATTTAACAAATAACAAATTGAAGTGAAATTAAAGAATTCTGAAACTTCAAGAATATTTCAGGCTTTATAAGTTAGCACAAAAATTATTTCCTGAAGATACCTCTGAAGTAAATAAAAATTATGAAGAATCAAATAAAATATTCTTCTTGCTCTTCTATTTTCTCTTTTCCCCAATCCCATTTTTCCTTCTTAAAGATGCTAACTATAGTCATTCATCAGGTGGTGCAGAGCAAGGTAGCTCTTACATATGTATATATGTATGTATAGGGGTGAGGTTGGGGGGGAAGGGTGCATACTAGTACTACCCCCACAGGGAGTTAGAACCTTACTGGGTGTATCTGTGTAAGGGGAAGGGTGGGGGCAGGAAAGGTAGTAAGGGTGTGGGTGGACCTATTGGATTCCAGAGGCCATCTGGTAAAGTGATAGGTTGGTCCAAAATGTGGAAGCCTGAGCTAATTTGAGTATCATGGATGTCTGAGCCCAAGTAGGAGGACCAACTGGAGGAGTCACAGGGCACACTGAGGGGTGAGGAACATCACACAGTCAAGCCCTAGCAGGTTGGCTTACAGGTCTTGCAATTAAGTTTTGTCCATAAAACTTGCACATTTGATCATTTATTCCTGGGTATCTTATAGTTATACTAGAGGCCTGGTGCATGAAATTAGTGCACGGGGAGAGGGGTTCCCCCTCAGCCCAACCTGCACCCTCTCCAATCCAGGACCCCTCGGGGGATGTCCGACTACCGGTTTAGGCCCAATCCCGGGGATCAGGCCTAAACTGGCAGTCAGACATACCTCTCACAATCCAGGACCACTGGCTTCTAACTGCCCACCTGCCTGCCTGCCGGTCTGATCACCCCTAACTGCCCCCCCTTCTGGCCTGGTCGCCCCCAACTGACCCCCTCTGCCAGCCTGGTTGCCCCTAACTGCCCCCCCCATTGGCCTGGTTGCCCCTAACTGCTCCCCCCACCGGCCTGGTCGCCCCCAACTGGCCCCTTTGCTGGCCTGGTCGCCCCCAACTGCCCCTCCCTTATGGCCTTGTTGCCCCTAACTGCCCACCCTGCCGGCCTGGTTGCCCTCAACTGGCCCCTCTGCTGGCCTGGTCGCCCCCAACTGCCCCCCTGCCAGCCTGGTCACCCCACACAGCCTGCTTTTCGGTCGTCCATTGGGCATAATGGCTTGATTCAATTTCTGGTTTCTGTGTTCTGTTCCATTGGTCTATATGCCTGTTCTTGTGCCAGTACCAGGCTGTTTTGAGTACAGTGGCTTTGTGGTATAAAGGCAACAAATTGGAAAGGAGGAAATAAAACTTTCACTATTCATAGATGACATAATACTGTACATAGAAAACCCTAAAGACTCCATCAGAAAACTGCTAGATTTAATAAATGAATTCAGCAGGACATTCAAAAAAGAGAGAGCAGAAGATATACACAAGTAGAAGAATATGCCATGTTCATGGATTGGTAGAATCAACATCATTAAAATGGCCATAGTACCGAAAACAATCTATAGATTCAATGCAATCCCTATCAAAATACCAAAGGCTTATTTCACAGACTTAGAACAAATATTCTGAAAATTTATATGGAATCAAAAAAGACCCAGAATAGCCACACAACCGTGAGAAAGAGGAACAAAGTTGGTGGGATCACAATACCAGATATCAAGTTATACCATGACCATTATTTTGTTGATTTTTATTACATAAGAATTTTTTTTTGTCATTTTAAGGCTATTTCAAATTATGATACATCAATACAATAAAACACTATTTACTTATAAGCAACAAGGTATAAAACAGTTTGCAAGGTATATTGTTAAGTAAAAAATGCAAGATGTTTAAGACTATGTAGATAACGTTTCCATTAGTGTAAAAAATTGTGGGTTATATATCTACATATGTTATATAACACATATAAACATACATTGAAATATAGAAACTGACCATGTAGTTATTCTGAAGAAGCATTTAGAAGACTGGAGTTCAGGGTGGAAGAGAGATTTATTTTATACTTTTATTAATGTTTTTACTATTTGCCTTTTAAAATATTTACATTACTTTTTTGAAGATAAAAACTATTTAAATTTCTTTGTGTTTCAAACTTCTAGGACTACCACCGTATACTAAACTAATTAGCATTTATTTTTATGAAATTACTATCAGTTGTGTCAAAGAAATTTTGATGAACAGAAAAGATGTCATGAGTGTTGAGAACAGAATGAAAGGGACTAAGGTTGGAATCAGCGATGCCAATTAGAAGGCTGTTGCAATTACCCAGGTAAGGAGATGGTAGTCTAGTCTTTGGTGGCAACCATGGAGGTAAGGAAAAATGATTTACACATAGATGTATAAAATCACAGAGGGGTCCTAGCTGGTTTGGCTCAGTGGATAGAACGTCAGCCTGTGGACTGAAGGGTCCCAGGTTCGATTCCAGCCAAGGGCACATACCTGGGTTGCAGGCTTTATCCCCAGTGGGGGATGTGCAAGAGGCAACCAATCAATGACTCTCTCTCACCATTGATGTTTCTATCTCTCTTTCCCTCTCTTTTCCTCTCTGAAAACAATAAAGATATATTTTAAAAAGTAAAAATAAAAAATAAAGAAAGAAAGAAAGAAAATCACAGAGGGGTCACATTTTACTGACAACTAAATCTACCAATATATTGTTTTATACAAATAAAAATGTATAGTATTAACTATACAAAGCCTACTAGCATTTACATAAAATTATTTCAACAGGTTTTTTGTAGATTTTGTAATTTAGTAAATATGGCAAACAATTAAAGTTACTGAGCACTAGTTAAAATATCAACTTTAAATGCAGACACATACATACATGCATGGAATCAATCAATCAAGCACTAATATTCCAAACTTGGAAAATCACTAATTTGCAAAATACTATTTCTAAAAATAGTGATAAGAAAGTTAGGTTAAAAAGCTGAAACTTGAAATTTTTTAGCTTAGATCCAGAAAATACCAGCAAATTGAGAATTTTAAGATTGTCCACCATAATTTGTTGGATGTGACTGCTCCACAATTAATACTACATAAATCACAAAAGTGTAATTTTCTGTTGTTTAAACAATGACTTCCTTGCTGGTTTTATAACTGTAGTTTTATAACTCTAAAGAAAGATGCTAACAATTTGCATAGGTGGGTAGAACATATGATTCAAAGTAAAAATAGAAAACACCAATACAATGTTACTTCAAATAATTAGGAACTTTATCTCTCTGTTAGCCAAGAGGCCAAGTCACCCACAGTAACTTTCCTGTAATAACAAAGAGAGTGCATTTCACCTCTTAAATCTGAGCCATAGGCCTGGCTATCTCATGAGCTAACAATGCCAAGGTGATTTCTTGGGCTTTCCAAGGTTTTCATTTCCTTAGCTATAGAATTGAAGGAGTTTGGCTAAGGTGGCCGGTAAGAGCCTTTTCCACTAAAAACATATTACATAAATAAGTCAGCTTAAGACTGCATGCTTTGGGAAGAAATTTTAGAAAGGGTAAGAAGGACATTTTTTAAAAGTAGGTAGACATTTTTTTTCTACCTGTGCAATGCCATC